ATAATATCTTAAGATAAACTTAATTTGAAAATTAAATGTTTATCTTAAGCAATATTGTAAAATAAAATGTTCAAGTAATAATAAATGTGAATTTAAAGTTCAAATAGAATGTCCATATTAATTTAATCGTTCACTTCTATATTATATAATAAATTTATAGGACGTTTTATTATTGACGTTTCTGTTTTCAAAGCACATGCTCTTACTTTGTTATCACGTCCTTGAAATGTTTTCACAATTTTTCACAAGTTTTTCATCATGAATCAAAACAATGTCATTTACCTTAAATTTTTGATTACCTTTATCCAAATTAACATAATTGACAGCTCTTAAATTTATAAGATAGTCCTTTTTCCATTTCTTCCAAAATTGATTTCATTAGTCTTTCTCGATATTTAAATTTTTTAATTAACATTTTTTTGTCAATCATGCAGTCAACACCGGTTAATTTGACTGACGGTAAACTTATTGATCGTCTTCCAAATAGCATGTGGGATGGTGTTAGAGGAAAAGTATCTGGTGTGTCTGTAGTCACATAAGTAATAGGTCTCTAGTTGATCACAGCTTCTATTTCACAAGGAACTGTTTCTAGTTCTTCACTAGTCAAAGATGTTTTCCTCAGTAATTTCCTAAGAATGATTTTCATTGAACGAACCATTCGCTCGTAGAACCCACCCCACCAGGGTGCTCCTTCAACTTTGAATTTCCACTTTATTCCCTTTGAGGAATAAAACTCACTCACTTCAGAACTGCTCAAAATAGTCCACATTTTTCTCAATTCAAACTCTGCTCGTTTGAATTCAGCAAAATCCAGGCCAGTAACTGAAAATGGAGGCGACTGTTCTATTTTGTCTTTTGGAAGAGGAGCCATAATTTCACTTCCTGATCTAACATTGAATCTTTTACATAAGACGCATCTTCCAATTATTGACTTATTAAATTGCCTACCTTTCGGAATCCAAAATTTCTCTCGTACCCGTGCTAGTGTGTTTGAAACACCAGAGTGTAGGGTCTTTTCGTGTGCTTCTTTCACTATCAGTTCTGTAAATTTCGTTTTTGATGGTAATAGTATTTATTATATCATATCATTCTTTTTGCCTTTGAAGTTTTATTAAAAGTCATGTGAAAGTCAACCATCACTATTATGACAGCTAGTTATTACTCCTAGAATCAATACATTACTTTTGAAATTGTCGAAAAATAAACTTGTACTTAGCAACTAGGGAATCTCGATAGTTCTGGGTAATAATATCCAGTGGTTTACAATAAAATCGTATCTAAATATCTGTATGCGTATGTGTAATTCCATGTACCATTTGAAATAAAATACTTTAAACATGTGATAATTATTTATTTTTTCATAGGACATTTGTTCCAATGAGAAGTGGATAGGTGTTACAGCATCAGATATTTTAATGATTATAGCGTTACCATTCAGGATTGTGACGGAGGATAAGAGGTGTGCACCGCAGGCAGCGTAGAACTGACTTATCTAGTCACATGAGAGCATTTAAAGTGAATGTATTGTCGTTGCGTCCAGAACATAGCAACGCGAAGTAGTATGATTTTTAGTGGTAGAAACTCCATTCTCTTAATCGTGTCAGATAAATTACTGCTTAAAAGTAATCGTAACTTCTCTTAAGTTGAGATCAACAGCATTAATAAATTAAAATGATTTTTTTGCCTTGGGTCTTGGTAAATCGGATATTTATGTACGTTCTTACGAAAATTTTAATGTTTGTCTTAGATAGTTTTTGCTTTAAACGGAAACCATTTGATGATGAATGTTCACATTACATTCACCTTCTGCCTTTAAAAATGGTACTACTTTACGTTCTGTTGTTCCGGATGCATCCATCTTATCACAATTTTGCATTAACTTAAAACGTTCTCTTGTGAATTAATTAATCAATTATACGAAATCCTCTTATTTTAACACTGTTTTTTATATTCTATCACTTTTCATTTACATAATCTTATCAAAAAATTGGTTTACCAAAATATGAAAAAGGCGTGAATGATGGTTTAAATGAATAAATTAACATATGTATAACATTGCAATAAACAAAATTAATTTTAAAATAAATTATAATGAAGTTATAAGTTCGATTGCAGTTCTTCGAACAGCTTTGCATCAAACAGCTTTCGCAATGCTCAATAAATCTGTTGCACAATTTAATGTAAATTGGGAACGAAGAAGATTTAATTGACAAATTGACATCATGACACGGACAAATTGAGTTGTTGTCATACATTGACAGTTGTCATAATATCCTCTAAAAATTGAACAGTGGTAGCTAATTTATGTATTAAAAGTTTACCTTATGATATTTTTTGTAATTAAATTAAGAACTAAATTATTGTTAAATAATAATATTTAATATTTTTATTCTTAATATTGATTTAAAATCTTAAATAGAGTTTTTTTTTCGTATTTATAACTTTAAGAAAATGTAAAATTTAATTGATGATATCATTTGCTATAAAATAAAAATATAAGATTTTAGTATAAGGTTTGATATAAAAGTAGAAAAAAAAAAACAAAAAAACAAAGGGGCGCTACAGCCCATAGAGGGCCAAGGACTACTGTGCCCGTCTCAGTTTTCTTGACCTTGGGCTCTGGGGTGCAGGAGCAGATGTTCCGGTCAGGTGGTCAGCCGAACGCGGAACCTCCTATGTTTAGTTTCCAAGCATACTTGGTACTCATTCATCGACCCACTGAAAGGCTGAGACCACCTTGCCCGGCCTGAGTATCGAACCCATCATCTGTGGTACGGGAGCGCAAAACGCTACCACTCAGCCACCGGGCGTCTGATATAAAAGTAACTACAACTTATTTACTTATTAGTGAATTTATAGCATATAATCGCCAAAATAATTGTTAAAAGTTACAAATTTATTGCTACATTTTTTGGCATAGTTGATCAAAAACACTTTTCCGTTTGTAATTTATTCTCTGTCTTTCAAACCTCTAAAATCTTTCAACATTGATAAGTATGAGTAATCGCAAATCCTAAACATTTCTGAACTTATAAAGTGATTCTTCAAGTATCTTTTGAGAAAGATAAAAAAATGTGGTAGTATAGAAGCGTTTCCATTATTTTGTCAAACCTCTGTAAAACTATATTTAAATGATCTCATTCAAAAATATATAATCTACAACATACAATAAGATAAATCCAATTTTTATTTGCTTGAAACTTTTTTTCGCCTCCATGATGCTACGACAGGTGTAAAAGTTACAAGAATGGCACTTAATACACAAGAAATAGCGATAATGTACAGTACCCAGTTGTAGGATCCCAATGTACCTCGAAAATATCCTGAAATTCAAATTATTATTATGAATACATAATGACGAATAAACATTTGAAAACAAATTCTGCAAAAATAAAGTTTAAAGTTCAACCATAATATCTGTACCTGATACGATGCAAATTGTGACAGTCATAAGAAGAAATGAAATTTCGAATAATTTTCCTTTCAATTAACTAGTAATGTGTAGTTAAATTTAAGAAATATGAAATTTAGAACCATATAAAGGCTCGTGTTATTGCTAAGTTGGATGCCAGGATGAGCGATGTAGTTTAAATTATAGCAACCAGCATAAGCACCTTTAAGTGAGCTTAGTCGATATTTCATCCCCCCCCATATTAGATAACATTCATTCCCATTTTTACGCTATTCACTTGTTTTTATTTTGATATAAAATGCATTTGATTAGGATTAGACTTTTTTGTTTTTAAATTATGCTTTGTTTTTTGGGCCATTTTATTTATATGACAATAGCATGAGAACAAAAATGGCTCAAAAAATTATAAATTTTTGGCAAGAAGCACCTTAAAGTATATTTTTACGAAATATTGTAGCAGATTTGAATGATATTAAGGCTCAACACGATCCAGAAATTATTAAAATCTGTAGGAAATAAATAATAAAAGAAAGAAAGAGGAAAAAAACATGGTTGCGGCTATTCTTACCTATTATTGGAGACTTGGTTAGACACAGTGCGGAATATAAAACAAATCGAGAGGTTAATGCCATGCTGTGTTCATCTTCATCAAAGAATTCATACACCATTCCAGGAAAAGTTGTTGCAAGTGATCCAGAAACAGCACCAAATATCAAAATAAAAACCATCATTAAAGTGAAACTGTGAACAAAAACCAAGCATACTTCAACTAAACCTAGAATCAAATAACAAGTCATACAATACATCGTTTGGGTCATTAAATTGAGACCAGTAATCCAGTTTAGGCCTAAACTCCCTATCATTTCAGCTACTGGAAAGAACATTAGAAAGTACAAAGATAGCTCAGTAGAAAGTCCGCGATCTCGACCGAGATCAACGATTATAGTCCAAGTCAACGTCGTCACAAAAGCGTGACAGCTTTGAACAAACATTGTCAAGTAGAAAGTGGGGTTTGTGAACAGTTGCAAGGATTTCATTTTTTTGGGTTTGGTACGATTGGCCACTTTTGAATCAACATAATTCATATCGATTCCTGCTTTTTGTTTCCCATTTTCACTGAGATTCATAGATTCCTTTGATTTGCATTCATGTATATCATCTTTTTCAATTATTTTGGTCACTTGAAATAAGGAATCGTCTTTAATATCAGGTGGTTCATCTTTCAAATCTAAACATGCATTATCATAGGATCTTTTACAATTATCTGAAATATCCAATATCGTATGAGGAAAAGCGGTTGACAAACTTGCACTTCTTCCGATATCTAATCTGTCATTTTCCTTATTTTGTTTCTCTGATTTACTCTCAGGTGAAGAAGATATACTTTTTTGTGCATTTTTAACATCAGTATTGCTTAATATTGTTTTTAATTCTATGTTTTTTAAATTGTTTTTCGGATTTTTTAAGATAATTGCTGCAGGAACGCTATTTAAAACTATTGCAGACAAAATCAAGAACATCCCTGAATTACCATATTCTTCACTTAGTAATTGTAAAACTTTAGGCATCACAATTGCGCCTAAACAACCTCCAGCAGCGTATATTCCAAAAGGCATGTTGATACTTTCGGAAAAATGTTGCTTTAATATTTCAGGAACCAAGCTTACACCGAGCCCGAATCCCAAACCTGCAAAATAACGCAATTAGTTTTTTGAAAAAAAATATATAACTTATTGAACAATACATTGAGTAGGGTAAACCAAATAGTGAAGAAACACTACCCAGTGAAGGAACATTTCATATATATTGATTAAAAATAAGAGTTCGAAAGTTTTTCTTTATATTGATTGGTAACAATAGCTTACTGCCAAACAATAGGGAGTCATCTAGCAATGTTTTGGATTACCTGGTCAAATAGACTTCTCTGGAAGAATTTTTGAATTTGTTATTATCTCTGCAACACCTTGTTTCGTTGAAAAAATTATAAGGTGAGTGTTTGTATTTATATGTTTGAAGTAGAATTAATTGCATGTAATAGTTTTATTTTTCTCACTGTGAAGAAGAGAATTCAAAATATAGTTATTGAAGTTACGTTTTATATTTTTAAAGCACCATAGCATAATCAAGTACTGAGATAAGGGGGTGTTTATTCACTGGATCACCAAACGATGAAAACCCAGTGAAGGAGCAAGTGTTCCTTAACTGTTTTTTTCTTCCAGTTAATGAAAATAAAAGAAGTTTTTTAATTTTCTTGTACTTTTAGTCATATTATACATCAAAATTCTGTTTAAAAGACAAAAAACAACTTCTAACCAGTGAAGAAACAGGCATGTTCCTTCACTGGGAATACTTCCAGTGAATGAACAGTAATGTGTGAAATATGATTTTACATGACTCTAGGATAAGTAATTCTGCTATATAGAGGACAACCGAAATTTTGTTAAAAATTGTATGAATAATTCCTGAAATAATTTCAGTTCAAAATGTTAATTTAATAGCTTAATTTAAGAAAAATTTATAATTTATATTTATTAATGGGGTGTGTAGTTACATCAAATGCTAAGCAACTTAATAAACTATATTTACAAATCGAAAACTAATTAAATATAATCATAAAAATTTGAATAGAAAATTTTTTCGCTGGCTTGCTTTTGCACCAAGAACTCCTAATAAGCTATCATTATAGGATTGTAACGTGATTATATAATTTATAAAAACTTCTTTACTATGTTAGAATTTAGAAGCAGGCTCCTCAACAAAAAACAGAGTTAAACAGAAACGATACTCAATTTCTTCAGAAGCTTGAGAGGGAAATCACTCAAGATGTGTTGCAAATTTTTAACGCAGCATTGACTGAAGAGTCTAATATCGAAAATGTCCAAGAGCCTGTACTTTTTTCAATATGGAAGAAGTACGTATTAAAAGAAGACCACTTGGTTAAGTCAAACTTAGGAACTGAAGCTAGTAGTGTTAATGAATGCATCTTAGATATCGAATTTGAAATGAGTCCTCATGCTGATCCTCTCTTAGTTGAAAAAAGAAATAATTCTATAAGTAAAATCAGTACTTCTAAAGATCCTCTAGATATAAGTCAACAAGAGATGGATTTTCCTCAAACTTCAAGACACCTCTCCCCCGTCTATTCTCAAGAAAGGAAAGGCATTCTAGAAATGTTCCTGAAAAATCAGAAGAAGTTTGGAAGAACCATTTACATTGGCCAAATATTGATGATAAAAAGAAAGGTCAAATAGGAAGAAAAACGAATAAATTACCCTTTGCACTAACTTCAGAGAAATGGCAAAAATTTCAAGACGCTGAAAGATCTAAAAAAAGTTAAAACAAGAGAATATGGAGNTTCAAGAGGCTGAAAGATCTTAAAAAAAGTTAAAACAAGAGAACATGGAAAAGAAAAAGAAAGAAAAAATACTTAAAAAAAGAAGAAAAGCTTCAAGAAATAAATAAGAGAAAAAGAGTAAACAAAAGGGTGATAAAATAATAATGATAATAAACAGCATCGGATGACACGATGATTTAGATTTGACTGTCAAATTATAAGAAAGAATGATTTTTTTATTTTTTTGTATTTAACATCACTTTAATTTCTAGTTCATGATTATAGAAAAAAGTTAGCATTTTACAAATACGTGTTAATTTCACAAATAGTCTTATTTTTATATATTTGTATGGCTAATAAATTCATGAAGAGCATTAAAAATAACCAAAATTAAGTGTTCCTTTACTGGGCAATTTTGTGTTCCTTCACTTGGTCTTCTTACTAATTGTAATTTGAAAATCCAAAACTTTAAAACAATATTATGTAAGTTCTCTAAATTTTTTTTACATAATTTGCAATTAGTAACAAATATGTTGACACCATATATGGCAGTACTTTTACTTTCGTTACTTGTTCCGCCGGTACAAGTAAAAAGTACGTACTTTTACTTGTACTTCGTTACTTTTAAAAATTAGTACTTTTACTTGTACTTTCGTTACTTTTTTAGGGAAAAAGTACAAGTACTTGTAACAGAAATGTCGAATGAAATTGTAACTTTTTTCTAAAACTTGGTAAGCTTTCTAAAAAAAAATTAAAAAAAAAAAAATTTAAATTAAAAAAATGCTTATATTTTTTTAATTTATAAAATTAATGTGCAATATACATGCATTCACAGCTAACTTCGTGTTCAAATACCTTGACCTTTTAAAATTGTCATTCCTGAAAGGGAAAAGACAGCTCTTTTGATCTTTTTTTGAATGCAACTATCATTGTGAATGGAGTGTTCTCCAGAATTGTGTGTCCAGAACAATCATTTTTCATCTTCTGAAAATTGCCTGTTATAAAGGATGACATGGATAGTAAAGGTTTTGTATACCGGTGGTTTTCATCTCAAGAAAAGTTTCAGAATGGTAAAAAGTGCTCTTTGAAATTCTGTAAACCAAGTATAATGAATTTATACGATTATACGATTTTACTGGTACCTTGCTTCAAATTTAATTGGTTGGTAGAAAAAGCTAGGGAGCAGGCTACAAAAAAATTGGAAAGAATTGTCCAAGCTGAACACCCTGCTATAACTAATAACGTAACAGAAAAAAACAGGGTATGAAACCAGATTTTAAATTTTCTAAAGCTGAAAACATCATGCCAATCACCAGCGACAGAAGAATTTATGACATACATGAGCTCAAATGTCGAAACGGAAAGCATATCAATTTTGAATCGATATCCAATCGTAAAAAAATTATATGTGAAATATAATACTGCAGTACCTTCTAGTGCTCCCGTGGAGCGCTTATTCAGCGTGGCTATAAGCACGTTCTGAGAAATTCTCGNCAGCATCGGATGACACGATGATTTAGATTTGACTGTCAAATTATAAGAAAGAATGATTTTTTTATTTTTTTGTATTTAACATCACTTTAATTTCTAGTTCATGATTATAGAAAAAAGTTAGCATTTTACAAATACTTGTATGTTATAATTTCACAAATAGTCTTATTTTTATATATTTGTATGGCTAATAAATTCATAAAGAGCATTAAAAAATAACCAAAATTAAGTGTTCCTTTACTGGGCAATTTTGTGTTCCTTCACTTGGTCTTCTTACTACTTGTAATTTGAACATCCAAAACTTTAAAACAATACTATGTAAGTTCTCTAAATTTTTTTTACATAATTTGCAATTAGTAACAAATATGTTGACAGTTAACACTGTCATTTAACGAAAATTACGAATTTCGAAATTAATATGATTTTTTAAAAGGCAAGCGAAGGTTAAGTGTTCCTTCACTGGTTAATTTACCCTACTCTTCAAACAAAATTTTCTGATTGGTTAGAATTAGCATTTATTATAAAGCTTTTTCATGTATAAAAAAAGTAAAGTTATTTAATTAAATTTTTTATTTATCGGAGGTTTCTAGTCGGAGACTTGAGAAGATTTTAACTTTAGTATGTAAATCAAATATTTTTTCTAATATTTAAAGAAAAATGATCGCAACCAGTGATGCTTGACTTCGGTGATCTACTGGGAACCGTGTCTTTACGTTCAATCCATTGCGGTACGAAGAATTTTGGAGAGGACTGAATAAGCTTCGTGTCGTGGATTAGACCCATTGACTCAAATCTTAAGGAAACATTACGAAGAAAGTATTTTAAGTTTTAAAATTTTTTGTCACGTCCGTTCTTTCGTGTCTGACATGTCTATAATTTCTTCTCTGTTTTTAAAGGTTTTTATTGTATTTTCTTCTCGTTAGTGATCATGAAAATAGGCGATGCTTGACAAAAGGTTTAGTGTCGCACTTTCTTGTGCTAAAATTATCGTTCCAATTCCATTTAAGTCCCGCAGTGGACTGATCGTTAAGAGACGGTTCCCAGCTGATCACCGAAGTCAGGCATCACTGGCTGCGATCAGTGTGCGGGTGGGTGACCTACTTGGATCAGTCTGCATGGGGACCGAGGGTGTGCGGTATTAGTCCTCGTTAAACTGTGCTACCGTGAAGTGCTCGACTTCGCGTGCAGGTTGTTGGGCTACCGAAGCGGGGGTGCCATCCCCTCCGCCTAGGATCAAAATTGTGATGGCATGTCTTCGGATCATCCTCAGGGATGTTTCCCAGATCGTCGCCAATAGCCCATTGTGCAGCTCTAGTGCGACGTAAATGAACTACAACAACAACAACAACAACAATTCCATTTTAGGTTTTTTACAGTAAGAATTAATTTCATTCATTCATTCAAAAAAATAAATAAATGAGAAATGCCATTTCAAAAGTTCGAAATTTTGTCACTGTAACTGTAACCTTGAGAGATACACAATTGTTTTTAACGTGATTCTTGAGTGTATAGATCACTTTAATTCTGTTTACTCAAACGGTATGCTCTTCAACTTCGGCTAATTTATTTTATAATTACCCTGTGCTACAGCATAAACTTTTCCAGAGTCAAAACACGAAACCGAGAAGTATAATCGGAACGCAGAAATGTTCGACAGTGAGAAATATTATCGAAACTCAAAAATGTTCGACACATTTCTGTGTTTCGATATTGAATGAGGTTATTGTTTATAGAATCGAAGCTATTGCTTATAGAACCTAAGCTTCATTAGAAGACAAATAATGGCACAAAAGTATATCTATTTTTGTTCCGTTATTTGTGCTTAATTTACGCAGTTTAACTTTATTCACTACTTGTATTGAAATACTTGTTACCGTAAATAAATCCCAGGCCTATAATGACTGTTGTGATATCATCAGCGAAAAAACACACTCCAATTCCGAAAGATGCTAAAGCACAGCCCAGAGTTGTGGTTGCACGTAATCCAATAACTTGTCCTAAATATCCAATAAATGGGCCTGCATAAGAATAAGAGTTAGTCAATGAAACTGAAAGTGCTAGACGAACTTGACTAAAATAAACGTAAAACATAACATTCAGCATGCACTGTATCAAATAAGATTAGCAAAAAGTGGGTTTTAGGCTGGTTTGGCCATAATGAGAACTGGTTTGAGAACGCACTTAATACTATGCATGATAGGGAAGAGTTCTGAAACCATTTGGTTTACAAAAAAAAATCACTTTTTTATTTATTTATTTAATTTTTATGCCAAGGTATTTGTTAAATCAGTCTAGATATTAATGTTCTTTTTTTTTTTTTGTAAACCGAATAAGGAACAAAAATTCAGTACTTATTTTTACACAGTCAGTAAATTAGTTTGCTCCACTGCTGTTTAAATAATATGCAAGCAACTTATGGGTTTTTATGTTTGTTTTTGGAAACTAGTGGTCAGGAGCTATGTAATATGTGTATAAAAATGCTCAGGTAAAAGAAAAGGAAAAATTAAGCTTGAAAAAAACTTAATTGTGAAATAAATATTTGTTTTGGGGAACGAAAAATGTGGAAAAAATTTCTTCAAGGAGTTTCAGAGATTTGACCACAGAAGGAAAACACAAAAAATTCCTGAAGAAAATTCTTATTAAAATTTTATTAGATTAATTAAATCTAAATTTTTTTATGAAAAGTGTAGATAGAACAAAAGCGAGGGGTGTAGCGACATTGTTATGCAAGGAATTAGGTTTTTTTTTTTCTTTTTCTTTTTTTTTTTGCTGACAAAAAGAGAAGAATTCAAATACGCCAAAAACATGATATTGCATTGTTGTTTAAATTTTTTATAAGTGAAAACATAATATTTTATTTTGTGTGAAAGTACTTAGGCCACATTTAATTCCCAAACTGATTTAAACCAGACATGGTCAAACTAAATAGTTTCGCGGGTCAAAGAACGATAAAGCAGTCTTAATTAAGGAACACATGCTTCTAAAGTTATATTTCAAATACAAAGTGAATAAAAGTTCCATTATTATACAATAATTCAAATGTAATAGACTTTTGAGTCTAAATTAATGAGATATTTGTTAATCATTTCTTCTATTTAAGTTCCGTTGGTTTCGAAATTGTGAAAATTAAATAAATTTTGCTAATCTTCAAATTTTTAGGGGGGAGGGATTTTAAAACTATAGAGTTGGCAACTATCAATAACGTCGTCAAACAGATGCATAGAATAATTAATTAAAAATAAAAGTTTACGTACCAGTTAAAGATCTTAGCATTCCAAACACAACAATAGGAATTGTCGCTTTTTCTCTATCTACTCTGTACTGATCAATAATAATTACGAACATAAAACCAGCCATTCGCATTGGGATGACGACTAAAAAACCAATAGCACCACAAGCAAAAGTTGCAATCCAACTTGTAATGCTATCGTAGCCGGTGGTTTTCATTTTGATATATCAGAAAATTGACTTGAGTTTCCCTTATTTTATATAGAAAAGCCTAAAATATGATTAAAACCATTAATTTGTAAAGCTGGTTAACACTGTTTAAATATAAAAAAGCTTGGTAAGAAAAAAAAATCCTGTTCTTTACATAAAGTGAAAAAAAATAAACGTTTAGAAACAAATTTATAAGATTCGGAATGATTATCGCCTTTATTTACATTTAGTTGGAATGACTGGCAAGTTTAAGTAAAACACATAGGTTAAAACTTTTGACTTCATGGCAAATAAATGATAAATTAAAAATTATGCTTCTTCAGATTTCATCAGATAAATAACAGAGCCGCAGTTAAAAATTATAACTTCTGAAGATAAAAAATTTCACCATACCAGGAAAAAATGAATTAAGAAGCCTTGATAATTGAGTCTTTAATTTTGAAAGTGGTATGAGTCACTGGTATTTTCCATTTTAATAACTTCTCTCGTAATCTGAATTAAAACATTTTTAAAACTAAATTTTATTATCAATAAACATTATTATAAATATCAATTGTAACAAACATCGTTGAATGCTATTTGGTTTAGAATTAAAGTTACAAATAAAGTACCTTCTCTACAAACGTTTTTTTCCCTATTAAATGACTTATTCCACTTTTTAAATTAACGGCATATTTTGAATTTTCACTTTTATGACATTATGATTACAAGTATTTATAAAACAAAATGCGTGAGTAACACGATTAAACATTTTTCAATTGAATAACTTTTTTGTAGTAAGCACCAAGCTACATATAATTCTGTTAGTCAAAAAGGATTCCCGTAAAGCTGTAAACTTTTACGATTTTTATAGATTTTTCCCGGTTTTAAGTAAAATAATTTTCACCCTCTTTTCCCCCCTGAAATGCTTAAATTGTGACATCCGTGAGTTAATCTATAACAGATATTTACTATAACGGATATTTAGATGTTTACAAAGTAATTATAACAGAGATATTATTGGGTGTTCAAATTAGTTCGGTACGTTTTTAAAAAAGGGCTCTGCTGTTATGAATGTTATATAGTGACAGCTGGTTTCGGCGATTTCAGAGAGGTTAAGCATCTGTCAATAATATTCAGTTTATATCGCTTTGAGTTTCATACAAAAACGCTATTTTTTACTTTGTTGAATATGAAGCACCATTTGCGGTAATGAAGCACCATTTGCGGGAGGTTTTATGTTTCTGCTTTAATTGGAAGAAAAGTGCAGCTGAAGGGCATCGAATGCTTGTAGAAGTTCATGTTGACAATGCTGCAACTGATAAATCATGTAGGGAATAGTTTCGACGTTTCAAGAATGGTTAATGGTGAATAAAGAATGGTAAATGGTGAATGATAAATGGTGAATAGTTTTGTATACTATGAGCTGCTACAACCTGGTGATTCCACAATGGGCGATTGGCATAGGCTACAATTGATTCATTTGAGCCGTGCATTACGAGAGAAAAGGGCGGAATACGAGCAAAGACATGACAAAGTTATTCTTCTGCATACTAACGGTCAGCTTGATGTCTCAAAAGTCGTAAAAAAGTAATTGGAAACGCTCAAGTGCGATATTTTACCGCACCCGCTGTATTCACTGGACATTGCTCCTTCTGATTACTGGTTGTTCCGACGGATGCAGTATGATTTTGCAGGTCACCAGTTCGTTTTTTTCTCAGAAATCGAAAATTGGCTCCTAACTTGGATCGCCTCAAAAGACGAGACATTTTTTCGAGATGAAATTCGAAAATTGCCTGAGAGGTGGGAAAAAGTAGTAGCCAGCGATCGACAGTACTTTGATTAATCTGTTCATTCATTTTGTTTTGAAATAAATGCATTTTTGACCACAAAAAAAACGGACCGAACTAATTTGTACTCCCAATCAGTGGCGTACGCAGAATTTTTTCAAGGGGGGTGTTCATAATTTCCTGAAGCTACTAAAAGAAATTCGAGTATGTAAAAAAGAACTATTAGTTCCCTAATTTAGACAGTTTTGACTTTTTATTTAGACAACATTGTTTAGTTAAATTTTGATTTGATTTTTTAAGTTTAAGAACATAATGTAATATCTTCTCACATGTAATATCTTCTGAAAAAAGTCCAATGTCATATGGGTGGGAAGTAACACTTTGAGGGCCACTTTCACATTCATCAGATTTTGTTATGCTAAAAACGTTTTCTTCAACGGAAGTATCACATTTCTGTACAACAGAAAAACTTAAATTGTACTCCGTCCCCCCTTTTATATAATTTTTCACCGCATCTCCAAAATTCTCGAATTGTCTCAAAGACGACAGAACGTCTAAGATTCCAGAATCATCGCGTAAAGACCTCGCGAATGACAGCCAGTCTCGAAAACTATCGCGACTGGCAGAACAGAAAGAAACCAGTCCATAACAGTATCACGTGAATTTGGTTTCAAAAGTACAACCCTATTATAGTAAATGTTTTTTTCAGTATTCTGAGAAATACCGTGGGAAAAAAAGGTAGGCATAAGGCAAATGAAATAGTCTTAAAAAATAATACCCACATAATTTCTACTAAAATTTTTATTTTTGCCATTTTGTCTGAGCTCAAGGGGGGTGTTCAAACCCCTAAACCCCTCCCTTGTGTACGCCACTGCTCCCAATACTTTGAATTTTAATAAACACATGCATTGAACTTTCACCTTTCATTTAAGACCCGAAAGAAGAAAAGCAACTAAAAATAAAATTTTCATTAATTTTTAAATGTATGGAAAAGCGAAAATTTCTGATTCTGCATTGTAAAAAAATCCGACGCAAATTACGGTTAAAAGTACTCTCCGTCAGATACTTACTACGTAATAACCATTTTTACAGCAACTTGTTACGGTAAAATTTGATATACTGTATTTTTTAACAAAAATTGGATATACTGTAATTTTTAACAAAAATTGGATATACTGTAATTTTTAACAAAAATTGGATATACCGTAATTTTTGAAATCGGATATGTCGTAATTTTTACAATAATAATTACCAAATAATCATTGAATCATTCTAATAAAATAAGTATTACTGTAAAAATTATGGTTTAATATTTTACGATAAAATTGAATTTTATGGTAAAATGGATTTTGCGGGAGATGCACCCAAAGTGCCGGTACTTTATACCGTAATTTGCGGAATTTTTTACAGTGCATGCGGTTGCAATCGGCTAGTATTAAATAAACTAATATTAAACACAGTAAAAACATTTCTAAGTATTGTTGGTGTACTAGTGTACAAGGAACCTATTACCACAGTAGTTATTTTATTCCGGTTCATAACCGGCGTTGAATAACCGATTCATTTTTGATTTTGCGACTATCAATGCTCAACTCCGCAGCCTTTTAATCCAACCCAGAAGGCAAGAGGGTTCCTGGTTAAGTATTGAGATAATCTAGTCATCGCGGCTTTTCGATATAACTAATTCGCATTTGCGATACATGGAGCTGGAAACCATAAAAACCACTATTGGGAAAATGACAGTGGATTCTAACCCATCATTCGTCTATTGCTGAGGATATTTTAAATCAGGACTGTGGTCGGTGCGAGCAGTGAGCATAATTCGTATCGCAAGTAGCAGATGGTGAAGATGCACAGAATGGGATCCTACTTAAGTTATTTCGTAAAAGCTGATTTTTTTGAAATGTTACATGGCCAACTATTTTGAGACGTTTCTTAAGCAGTCGAGCGGTTCCCATGCTACAAATCATTTGCCGAACCTCCCTAAAGTTTTATGAAATTTTACTGTACTAACGTACTTTTATAAATACCCCTGTCGACAATTTTTATGTTTCTAGCTCCCTGTTGAAAGTCTTATTAATTTCCTCTTACTTTTAAGTAAAAATGAATTCGAAATATGGATTTAATCTTTTCTAAATATATATCATGCCATTGGTTTTCCAACTTAATTTTATATATACCGAAAATTTAATAAATTTTAATGAATAGCAAAAATAAAAACTAATAATAAATTTTAATGAATTTAATTTATATAAATTTTAATTTTATTTTCAACTAAATTTGATATTTTAATACATAATCTTTTCAAGGGTACTTTATAGAGGTGTTCTCCCAGGGTATGCACACACCTGCCACTATAAAGATCTTCTTTTAAGACGCCAGGACGATTAAATTACATTAAACCAGAAGCTCTAAATTCCAAATAATTTTTAATGAATCTGTAACAGATAAAATAATTGCTATTTTATACTATATAAAATAACAATACTACTTTAATTGTTATGGACATTTTATACTTTGTTTTTGAAGCATTTGGTATAGTACACTATCGCAAACATAAGTACACAGTCGTGAACATAAATACACTATCGTGACATAAGTACACTATCGTGAACATAAGTACACTATATAAGTAGTAGGATCAAAATTGTGATTCGGATCATCCTCAGGGATGTTCCCAGACCGTCGCCAATAGCCCATTGTGCAGCTCTAGTGCGACGTATACAACTGCAACAATAACAATTAAGTACACTATCACGAACATAAGTACACTATCGTGAACATAAAAGACATTATCTGGCAGAAATTTTGACATGATGGAAAAAATTACTTAGAATTAAATCTGTTGCAATAATTAAAAATTAAGTCGTAAAAATGGGACAAAGGGGGGAATAATACGGATTTATATCATATGCTGTGGTGCCCCAAAAATGAACGATGATTCAAAAAATAAATCAAGGTAAATGAAAGGAGATAAAAACGTAATTGTTTGCTGCATTTTGCTCAGAAAAACAGATGGTTGGTTTTTCCCAGGTTTCAAAATTCGTTACAATAGCTGATTAGAAATACTATGCAAAGTTTTTAGCTGCATGCCAGACAATTTTTGAGACTAAAATATTTGCATGGACGCCTGCTAATGTCTTCTGACCTCAACACGTTGTTGCTGAAAATGGTGGTTATGTTATATACATTATCTTATAGTTTTTCAGTTTGCAGAACCATCAGTTGTAACTGACTTCAGGAGAAAATTATTAAGCAGATTTCAGCAAAGCTTACATTGCTATCTCCAGCCACTTTCCTCAATTTATTAAATAAATTTAAAAAAACTAAAAAAAAAAAGATTTAATCAGGTGTCGTTAATGTCGTCAGACAGCACCATGTTGTTACTGCAAAAGTTTTTTTCCCTTCCAGTTAGCAGAACTCTATGTTGATGAATTTTGTAAATTTCATGAGAAAGAACACTGATTTCTCTCGAGAAACGCAGCAAACCTTATGTTTCTATTGGCTCTCACATTTCTTAATTGTTTTTTTTTTTAAATTAAGAAAAAGTTAAGAAAACAGATTTAAACAGGCGTCTGTTAATGTCCTCAGATAGCATCATGTTTTTGATGCAAATGATAATTATTTTATAATCATTGCTTCAGATGTTTTTTCATTTAGAACTCTCTGTCGAAGAACACGCTGGCAAAGAGTTTAGTAACTCTAGAAACTTATGGCGAAAAATTCCAGATTTTCCAAGCAGAACGTAACAAATCATATGTCTCTATCTTCTACCATCATTTTGAAATTTTTTTCGAAATCATCATTCAGTTTTGGGGCACTCGGCATCAAAACCATTACATTAAAAGCAGTAGTAATAGTATTTTTCCCTGAATAATCTGGGAATTTTTTTGAAACCATCCCTATAATCTTTACGCAGAATACCATAGATAAAAGGATTTGTTGCTGACGAAATAAACATCAGTATTGTGATTGTATAATTCAGCCACGGAGGAGCATCAATTCCTGTCATCGCTTTGCCCTGTTTGTTGATGGAATAAGGAGTGAGGCTAAAAAAATAAACTATAACAATGGCCATCANATGCATAGAATAATTAATTAAAAATAAAAGTTTACGTACCAGTTAAAGATCTTAACATTCCAAACACAACAATAGGAATTGTAGCTTTTTCTCTATCTACTCTGTACTGATCAATAATAATTACGAACATAAAACCAGCCATTCGCATTGGGATGACGACTAAAAAACCAATAGCACCACAAGCAAAAGTTGCAATCCAACTTGTAATGCTATCGTAGCCGGTGGTTTTCATTTTGATATATCAGAAAATTGACTTGAGTTTCCCTTATTTTATATAGAAAAGCCTAAAATATGATTAAAACCATTAATTTGTAAAGCTGGTTAACACTGTTTAAATATAAAAAAGCTTGGTAAGAAAAAAAAATCCTGTTCTTTACATAAAGTGAAAAAAAATAAACGTTTAGAAACAAATTTATAAGATTCGGAATGATTATCGCCTTTATTTACATTTAGTTCGAATGACTGGCAAATTTAAGTGAAACACATAGGTTAAAACTTTTGACTTCATGGTAAATAAGTGATAAATTAAAAATTATGCTTTTACTGATTTTATCAGATAAATAACAGAGCCGCAGTTAAAAATTATAACTTCTGAAGATAAAAAATTTCACCATACCAGGAAAAAATGAATTAAGAAGCCTTGATAATTGAGTCTTTAATTTTGAAAGTGGTATGAGTCACTAGTATTATCCATTTTAATAACTTCTCTCATAATCTGAATTAAAACATTTTTAAAGCTAAATTTTATTATCAATAAACAATACTACAAGAACCAATTGTAATAAACATCGTTGAATGCTATTTGGTTTAGAATTAATGTTACAAATAAAGTACCTTCTCTACAAACGTTTTTTTTATTAAATGACTTATTCCACTTTTTAAATTAACGGCATATTTTGAATTTTTACTTTTATGACTTTATGATTACAAGTAAACAGTTTTAATGTTCCTAACTCCCTGTTGAAAGTCTTATTAATTTCCTCTTATTTTTAAGTAAAAATGAATTTGAAATATGGATTTAATCTTTTTTAAATATATATCATGCTATTGGTTTTCCAACTTAATGTTATATATACCGAATATTTAAGAAATTTTAATGAATAACAAAAATAAAGACTAATAATAAATAATAAAAGAATTATTTTCTATAAATTTTAATTTTATTTAAAACTAAATTTGCTATTTTAATATATTATCTTTCAAAGGGCATTTTATCGAGAAATTCTCCCAGGGTATGCACACACCTGCTATTGTAAAGATCTTCATTTAAGACGCCAGGACGATTAAATTACATTAAACCAGAAGCTCTAAATCCTAAATAATTTTTAATGAATCAGTAACATATAAAATAATTGCTATTTTACACTATATAAAATAACAATACTAGTTTAATTGTTATGAACATTTTAAACTTAGTTTTTGATGCATTTGGTATGGTACACTATCGTGAACATAAGTACACTATCGTGAACATAAGAACACTATTGTGAACATAAGAACACTATCGTGAACATAAGAACACTATCGTGAACATAAGAACACTATTGTGAACATAAGTACACTATCGTGAACATAAGAACACTATCTTGAACATAAGAGCACCATCGTGAACATAAGTACACAATCGTGAACATAAGTACACTATCGTGAACATAAGAGCACTATAGTGAACACAAGAGCACTAAAGTAAACATAAGTACACTATCGTGAACATAAGAACACTATCGTGAACATAAGTACACTATCGTGAACATAAGAACACTATCATGAACATACGTACACTATCGTGAACATAAGAACACTATCGTGAACATAAGAACACTATCGTGAACACAAGTACCCTATCGTGAACATAAGTACACTATCGTGAACATCAGAACACTATCGTGAACATAAGTACACTATCGTGAACATAAGAACACTATTGTGAACATAAGAACACTATCGTGAACATAAGAACACTATCGTTAACATAAGAACACTATCGTGAACTCAAGTACACTATCGTGAACATAAGTACACTATTGTGAACATAAGAACACTATCGTGAACATAAGAACACTATCGTGAACATAAAAGACATTGTCTAGCAGAAATTTTTACATCATGGAAAAATTTTTTATAATTAAATATTTTGCAATAATTAAAAATTAAATCGTAAAAATGGGACAAACGTAGAAATAATATGGATTTATATCATATGCTATGGTGCCCCAAAAATAAACGATGATTCAAAAATAAATTAAGGTAAATGAAAGGAGATAAAAATGCAATTGTTTGCTGCATTTTGCTCAGAAAAACAGATGATCAATTGTTCCAGGTTTCAAAATTTGTTACAATAGCTGATTAGAAATACTGTGCATAGTTTTTTGCTGCATACATTTTTAAGTCTAAAATATGAGCATGGACACCTTTTAATGTCTTCAGACCTCAACACGTTGTTGCTGAAAATGGTGGCTATGTTATACACATTATCTTATAGTTTTTCAGTTTGCGGAACCATCAGTTGTAACTGACTTCAGGAGAAAATTATTAAGCAGATTTCAGCAAAGCTTACATTGCTATCTCCAGCCACTTTCCTCAATTTATTAAATAAATTTAAAAAAACTAAAAAAAAAAAGATTTAATCAGGTGTCGTTAATGTCGTCAGACAGCACCATGTTGTTACTGCAAAAGTTTTTTTCCCTTCCAGTTAGCAGAACTCTATGTTGATGAATTTTGTAAATTTCATGAGAAAGAACACTGATTTCTCTCGAGAAACGCAGCAAACCTTATGTTTCTATTGGCTCTCACATTTCTTAATTGTTTTTTTTTTTAAATTAAGAAAAAGTTAAGAAAACAGATTTAAACAGGCGTCTGTTAATGTTCTCAGATAGCATCACGTTTTTGATGCAAATGATAATTATTTTATAATCATTACTTCGGATGTTTTTCATTTAGAACTCTCTGTCGAAGAACACGCTGGCAAAGAGTTTAGTAACTCTAGAAACTTATGGCGAAAAATTCCAGATTTTCCAAGCAGAACGTAACAAATCATATGTCTCTATCTTCTACCATCATTTTGAAATTTTTTTCGAAATCATCATTCAGTTTTGGGGCACTCGGCATCAAAACCATTACATTAAAAGCAGTAGTAATAGTATTTTTCCCTGAATAATCTGGGAATTTTTTTGAAACCATCCCTATAATCTTTACGCAGAATACCATAGATAAAAGGATTTGTTGCTGACGAAATAAACATCAGTATTGTGATTGTATAATTCAGCCACGGAGGAGCATCAATTCCTGTCATCGCTTTGCCCTGTTTGTTGATGGAATAAGGAGTGAGGCTAAAAAAATAAACTATAACAATGGCCATCATACTATATATGGATTTACGCATTTCCATATCTTTCCGTTTTTTCATATTCTGTTCGAAAACTAGAAGTTTTATGGTAGTAATGTGTTCAGACATCACTTTAGAAGATCTCCTTATTTGCATCAAGATGATGGCGTTGCAGGTTCCTATGATCAGTGCTGGTATGTAGTAACAGAATGCGCAGCCACAATAAATAAAGACCTTCGAAAGATATTCTGAATAGGTGACAGCACAAACCGCTTCATTGTAGTCATAAGAAATCCATGGCGTTGCACCGACAAATATCGCGCAGGATCCAGTGTTGAATAGAATCCAGACGCAAATACTAATCATAATTTTCGCCGTCATCATGGATTTATACTTCAATGGGTAAACAACAGCAATTGTTCTGTCGAAGCTTATCATCGCTGCAGTATGTGATGAGGAGCATGCGCACATGTAGTTGAAGACGGCGTTGATTCTACAGGCTATTTCACCAAAAGGCCAAAAGCCTACGGCCATTGCGATAGCTGAAGGCATCATGACAAATATGGAGGTCAAAACATCAATGCTTGCTAGGAAGACTATCAGGATGTTGCCGGTTTGATTTCGAAGTTTTTCTTCCCAAGACGAAACAATTATGACAGCAAGATTGCCAACAAATTAAGCTAGAGCTATCAATACAATCGTCAGGCAAGCAAATACATTGAATATATGATTAGTTTCTTCAGATTCAGGAGTCATTGTGGACGAAGTTAAGTTGCTGGCGTTCATAGAACAATCTTCATCCAAGTTTGTTAGTTCCATGATTCTGAAATAATAAAAGATCAAGTGAAGCATTAATAACATAGCTTTAAATCAAATTTGAGGAAAAAGAAGAAAAAAAATATATGAAATAAATGAAGCACAAATCCTAAAGTTAAAGAAAAGCAAACTAGGAAATAACGTATATGACATAAATTAGAAGTACACAATTAAAGTTGAATACAAAGCTTAAAACACAAATCAAAAAATAAAATGGAAAATATCGAATAAAGCACAAAGTTTATTTAATTCCACAGTGCGTAAAAAAAAAAAAAAAAAAAAAAAAAAAAAAAAAAAAAAAAGAAACGGACCACCCTGAATTACTTTCACTCTAATAATCGGATCTTCACGTTCTTGAACTCAATCTTAATGATTCAAAGGGGTTACTTCAAATATGCTAATATATTAGTGCAGACCATATTTCAAGTCAACGATATTTAAGTATTTAGGATATTTTAGACACAAAGACTTACTTTCTGTGACTAAACATACCTTTTTTTCCATGGATTCGAATTTCTGACCCCCAAAATATAGGGGGTAGCCGCAATCTGGGAAATATGGTCTTTATAATATGGTTTATAGTTCGGTTATGAGAGCGGTCTAAAGTTTGAACCCCTTAGTTTACTTTTTGCGTATTTCGTCATATCTCGTGAACTTTTTCAGCGAATTAAAGCTTTTTGCACACAATTATAAAATTCATTTAAAGATTATTCCAGATGAAAATAAGACTTTTAGTAAGGATTGATTATTGTTTTTTTTTATTTTATTTAATAATAATCAAAATATAATATCGTTTAAAATTTAATTTTATTCAATAATAGCTTGACTTGTAAAAAATACAGTTTCTTACACCTTTTTAATGAATGTAATTTGGCATGAAAAAATACAAATCTTGTGCGAAATCGGTCGAATAGTTCCAGAGAAATCAAATTTTGAAAAAGTCGTATTTTTAAAAATCTGATTTCTCTTGAACTATTTGATCGATTTTGTTCTAATTTAGTATGCTGCCATGTAAAATTGCATTCTTTAAAATGGTGTAAAAAATGTATACCTTGCGACTAAATTTTTTTTACTATATTATTAATTAACTGGACAGTCCAAATTTAACAAAACAGGGAATTACGCGCTTACTTTTCCTTATTAATTTAAACACTAAACATAATCATTATTCATTTAAACACTAAATATAAGTCAAAGTCCAGGACTTTGAGGCCCGGGGTGGTGACAGATCTAACTTTTCAAGCGATGTCTTCGTATTCAGAATTCTAAACAATAAAGTGAGTTTTAAAGCTCTAAATTTATACATTTTAAATTTACTACCATTATTATAAATGTACAGTTCACATGGCAACTTTGTAAAAACAACTGTTCAATTTTCAAGTCTTTTTTTTTTCTTTAAGGGAAATACTAAGTTAATAAAATGTACCAAGTGATTTATGCAAATCTAAGATATCACATTACGAATTTATTTTTTTTCATTCGTTTATTCTTTAAGATAAGAACAATACTCATAAAAAAGGTTTGAAAATGGAATTAAATGCAAGTCCATTATTATAAATAGCTATGTCCATTTTCGCATATATGCATTTCGCGCAGTGTCCATTTTTGCGAACAAGCATTTCCAACTATGTCTATTTTCGTAAATACGTATTTTGAACTTCGTCCATTTTCGAAATCGCGCACTTCTAATTGTAATCATTTTCGTAAATACGCATTGTTCTAATTGAAAAACTCAATTGCAACATAGAAAAAAATTTCAAGTATTTTATTACATTTGCAAAAAAAACTTAAATATTTGTTAAATTAAATTTCAAAGTCATTCAAATCTTTATACTTACAACAAGAAGCTGTCTTTTGAGGTTGAAAAAATATCTTCTGAAGCTCTTCAAAGTATGTCTTTCTAAATTCGAAAGCACTATAAAAAGAAACTGTTATGTAAATACTAAAAATAGTACTTGTTTTTTTCTCCTTTCTTCGTAATCTTCATTAAAATTGCATTCATTGTCCGGAAGCTGATCATTACAATGAGTTTAATATTTTTATTAATGATGGCAAATCTTAATCATGAAACGTAAAGTTCGATTCTATAAATCAAAGTCTTTAAAATTTAATGGCACTGAACTGGATCAATTATGTAACTAATCGATTCTAAGGAATTGCTTATAGTTCTTGAAGAAAAATAACATTTCGTAATTGTTGAAAAACTAACTTAATGTTATCTAACTTATCGACTAAACTAACTTAAACTAACTTATCGTTAATGGTTATCCAACTAATGACAAAGAAACTCACCAAGAAAAATTTAAAAGTCACAGTTTAAGCGTCTTCCAATTGAGGCTAATCTATAATTGCAATTTCTGTCTAACTTTTTTCCTTAAGGAGTTACTAAGGAACGGATAAATAACTTAAATATTTGAAGAGTTATTATACGTCTTTAAAAATCGCTAATTTGGCGAAGTTTTCACTCCTAGATGAAAGTTATCAAATTTAATGAATAATTCACAACTTTTGCTAATTTTTAAGAGCCCATATAATGCAGCGCAATTTTTTTAATATAAAAAACTTAGACCACAAATACTTTTCATTTTCACAAATCTTCAGCTATTTTTTTAAAATTTTTTTATGCTATCTTCAGGATTAGCCTAAAGGGCGCTGACTAAACATAGGCTAAATTTAACCTAACAGTATAAATAACTGTTATCAACACACAGCAGTGGCAAAAACAGCATATCATTCAGAAGAAGAGCATTATTTCATGCGAAGTCTGAGCCAACGAATCATCTATAAAGTAATAATAAACTAGGACCGACATAACAAAACTTAGTACTCGCATATCTTAGTTAGAAATTTAACACTTACTGGAAAATTTAGGGTTCATTATAAAGGATAACCTTAGCTTGCTGGAAAGCTTTTGAATATTTTGGTATTGCACAAAACTCATGAAATATTTGTCTTATATCATAAATATATTTTGCAACATTTAATCTTGGGAAATTAAAATACATGCTTTAATTAATTTGCAATGAATGACATTAATATAATTATGTTACTTGGTATATTTTTGTTAAATTAATAATTATTTAATTACGAAATATTGGTGTTATTTAATTTCTACCTCTTTAATGTAATTTATGTCATCAACTATGACTGCTAACTAAACTATTTCTTTCAATATGTTATTTACACAATATATAGGGTTAGAATATTTTAAATAATTGTCTATTAAAACATTTAGTTTAATTTTATTTTGAATGTTTGATATTTATGCGGATTAATTGTCAGTTTAATTTTTATCATGTAATGTTAACACTATTCTTAATTTCGCAATTTAGTCCTGCCATTTCATTGTTTGTTAACAGTACAAGTACACTATCGATGGTATGATATATCAATATACGATAGTGTTTTTTTTAACCTTAGACATAAAAATAAATCAGAAGCAGTTACCCAGAAGTCTTATTACGAATTTTAGCCGCAAGCATCACCTGCGTTTAGCTTTATACGGCTATTTACTCATAGTTACTCTTCTCCCTTTTGGTGCATGCTAAATGCACATGGAACGTTCTTCAACTCCCAGATCAGACAAATGCTGTTGATTAATATAGTCTCTTATCTCCTGGGTTCTAAGATATGACCGAAAAAATAAAATAAAGGATTAAGATCTTTTCTGAAATCAGAAACTTTTTCAAATGTCATCAAGAACTTTTTTCCTCCAAGCTTTTAAAATATGAGCAGAAATTTTTTTTCAGTTTTATCATCTCCTAAAATACGCATTAAATAATTATTTGTTTCAATATACATTTTAAAATCATTATATATANTGTTAATGCATATTTTTGTATTTTTGTCACGGAAACAGTTTCCATGCATTTTTAATTCTCAGATTGATAGAAAAGGTTGAAATAGTTTTTATTCCTCTAAAATATTATTTCTTGTTTTAATATTTATTAAATAATCTATTCACGAAATGAATTTATTCTCTGAACTATCATAAACATACAGTTTACATCTTTTTACTCCGTTCAACAGACAAAGGTTTTTTATTGTGTGCTTTATGGGATACATATTTCAGAACGACGTTAATGATTTCTAAATTTCACTTACTTTTGAACTCATTAGAGAAACAGTTTTAGCAAGATCAATTATAACAAAAGTCTCCGCAATAGCTTGTTATTCCATCTCAATGTTTACTACATAACAAGTAAGTTTTTTTTTGTTGTCATTTGTCATAAAAGAATGGTTTTATTCATTTATAATTATTACTTTCTCACAATTTCACCAGTTTGAGCAACGATTAAAAAGATCTTAATATTAATCTTACTAGAACAATAATGTGCTATGATATGTAAAAAAGATACTATGCTATGTAATAGATCATAGTGTTTCTATATGCTATATGAAGGATTTAGTTTTTAAAACCCTGATAACCAAAACCGATGAATTTCATTTTCTCACGTTGTCAACGAGAAACTGGAAGAGATTGAGAGATAAATTGGACGGTTAAAAGGGAACAGTTCATATAAACAAGTAAACTGTTCGGTACTTTTGTTATAATTATGATTAGTAGTTAGTTACCTCAGGAGAAAGATGAGTTTGATAAACGGATGTCGGGAACGAAATATATTGGGTTGCCCAGAAAGTAATTTCGTTGTTAATTTTATTTTATTTTATGAAAATGGAAGACGTTTTTCTCATAGTGAATAAATATTTTATTAAATCAAATATTGTCCATTCTGGTCCGATGATCTTTTCAATCTATCTGGCTGTGGCATGATTACACGCGCATAAAATTTTTGTGCTTTGCTGGCAAAAAAATTGATCCAGAAGAATTTTTAACTCCTTATTTGAAGTAATGGTTTTACCGTCTAAAACATTTTGTAAAGAGAGGTTGGAGCATTGTTGTAGACAAGCCATTTCCTGTACATGAGGATGCGCTCCAAAATTTTCCTGACTTTTGGGAAGACAATCAACAGGCGTCAACGCGATGGCACAAATTTCATTGTGTAAGAACATGAAAAACTTTTCTGTCGAGGTTTGAGATTAATTATTTACGTCTTTCAAATGATTATGAACCGTCGAATTCGATAAATTTAATCTCTTATCGATCTCACGAGTTGTTATTCACAGGTTGTATTGTCTCTTCATCAATTTAAACTGGCGTGGTCTCAATTAGTCTGTTGGAAATATCTTGATCTGTACCTTTTCTGCCCTTAATAACTGCTCCAACGTAGGTAAAACTATTGACTTTTTCGATTGGATAGTTTTCGAACTATATGTTGTTATTCTGCTTTGTGTTAGTTTTTATGATCTTTGTTTTGTCTTTCTTGATCTTTAATCCACATCTTTTTGCTGCAGTTCAAATGGTATTTGCATTGGTTTTCATATGTTGCAGGTTTCTTGTTTGAAAGCAGAGATCTTCTGCAAAATTCAAGTCGCTGAGATATTCCGATTGCAACCATCTTATACCCTTATTGTTGTTAGCTATTTTTCTCATAATACAATCAATTACTATTAAGAAAGTTGTTGGGAGAGAGAATGCAAACCTGTTTTACTCTTAATAACATTTAAAAGGGAGGTGAATTCTCCAAATTGCACTATTTTTACACGGTAGTTTCCGTACATTTTCTGTACGGAAACTATTTATATGCAAACTGCAGAAGATATTTATAAATAAATCTGGAATTCCGTAATATTTTACCAGTTTCCAAAGTGTTTCTCAGTAGACACTGTAAAATGCTTTTTCAAAATCGATAAAATTTAGGTAGAGTGTAGCCTGCAATTCAATTGATTGTTAACTATTATTTTTAAAGTAGCAATTTGGTTGATGCATGATTTGTTTGCTTAAAAGCCAGCTTGTTCAGGTCCTAGTTTTTCATCGATCACATATTTCATCCTCTCAAAAATTATTTTGTTAAAGTTTACTTGAAACATTGAAAAACATTCCTCTCCAACTGTTACACTTCGCTATGTCTCCCTCGTTCGCCATTCCTTTTATTTCAGAATTCTATTAACAGAGTTGTTATAGACTTCAGATGCTATTTCAGGAATGGATTTTCTTAAAAAGTTCTGCAAAAAAGGTTGTCGCTTCCAGCAGCTTTACCTCCTTTTAGCGATTTGATTGTTTTTAGCACCTCTTGTCTAGTGATTGGGTATGTGTTTATGTTCAGCTGTTCTATTGGTTGTTCTGAGATGTCTTCAATTTCTACAGGTGCATTTCAGTTCAATGCTTCTTCAAAATGTTCTGCCTATTTCTTCATCTGTAATTACTTTGAAGTGAATTTTATTCCTTGTTTATCCCTTAGTGATGCATCTGTTACGGGCAATGTAATTATTTAGGTCAGTATTCATAATGCTTAGTTATTATGAATAATAACCATCAAAGTTGGGCAATTTGATAAATTTGAAATTCTTTACGATAATTTCTCACATTGCCCGGTCATTATAAATACCGCTATTATTTCTTTGGGCACTTTGATTAATTGACAGCAATGGGACAACTACGTGCGTGTGGTGTGATTCTGGCTGGCCAATGTTCACCGGTGAATGTTGACAATCAAATTAGTCGCTTTGGTGAATGTCCGTAATATTTATTACATCCAATTTGATACTAATTTATTCGCGGATATAATTACATTTATTCGGCATTTTAATACTTACTGATGATAGATTAGAACAAACATCAGTGTTTGCAGTACCGGGCAAATGTATACCGGGCAATGGCATTTAACCAGACCTAGTATGACTAGACCTTTGGTAAATGTCCGAAATATATACTAGGTCTAGTGCCACTTTTGCTATAGCTTAAATATTTAAAAAAATTAAACAAAGCGTTTGAATAAATTTTAAATTGATACCGAAATTATTGCTTTAAAATTAAAAAAAAAATAATAAAAACTGCACCAGATAAGAGTAATTGAAGTAGTTGCTTTATACAGCGCATGTGAGGGAAAAAATTAAAAAAAAATTATCCAGGTGCATCTAAAAGTGGATGAATATCCCAAGACACCCTGTGGCTGTGTGTGACGCAAATTGCCCACTTGACTTTTAGCATTATACATAATGACCGGGCAATGTAATAATTGCAACGTAATTTATCATTTTGTCATATCCTTTTGGGCACTTTTTAAATTGCCCGGGCATTATAAACAATGCCCAATTATTTACATTGCCCGTGACATATCCACTGCATGCCTTTTCCCTATTATTTTATTTGTAATATCACACAGTTTTTTGTTATCATTTATACAATGCATTTGTAAATACAGCTATTATTTATACAATGCATTTGTAAATGCAGCTAAAGATGCTTCTTTAGCTGCATTTACTACTTTTTCTACATATTTTCTTTTATCTTACGGGCACTTTCACATTCTTTTTTTTTTATTTGTATGATTCAAGTATTTGCTTTGTATTTGCTTTTTCATCACAGTTAATAATTTTTAGGTTAATTTTCCTTCTTTCTTTAACTAAGTATTTGGTGTGTTCAAATATTCAGTCATAATATTCATGTTCTTTCTTCACAAGCATTTCTTCTGCTGTTTCTGTATAGAATTTTTTTAATTATCTCCCATCTTTTATTTACCTCCATATCTTTATCATTTTCCTCTTTTAGAGTTTAGAATCTGTTTTTTAGATTCAAGGTAAAATTAAGTATAGGAGTAATATTTTGTAGTTTGTCAGTATTGCATCTGGTTCTGCAGTTGCCGCTATTAGTCATTATATTATATTAGTATTTATTTTAGTCAGTTTTAATTTTACTCTTGCTCTAACTAAGTAATGATCTGATAGATTATGCAGAAAAAATCGTGGTATTAAAAAAATGCATAAGCATCTACAAATGATGCAGAAGATGAAGAAAAAGACTAATTTTGTTAATATCTTACAAGATACTGAAAATAATATAAATGCAAAGGACGTGCTGATTGTTATGGGAGACTTAAATGCAAAAGTCGGCCATGAAAATTAGGGAGCTGAATTAATAATGGGAAGAAATGGACAGAGATTAATGACTGAAAATTGAGAATGTTTTATATAGAATTTTGTTAATTATCCGTCCTGTGTATAGATGGAACTCTATTTTAACACAAGGAAGTCCATAAAGCTACCTGGATATCACCAGATAAAAAATAGAAAAAACCAAATTAAGAACACAAGGAAGTAAGTTACCTGGATATCACCAGATAAAATATAGAAAAAACCGAATTGGAGACACAAGGAGTCCATAAAGCTACCTGGATATCACCAGATAAAAAAATAGAAAAACCAAATTGATCATACTACTATCAATAGAAGCATAATCGATAAGAACATTTATTAGACATTAGTACCAAAAGGATCATTTTTTAATTAGAACACGGTAAACCAAACGATTTTATTTCTTTCATTTTCTATCATTGATTTTTAAACTGTTAATTGCCTTTGAAACAACGATATTTATTTTCTAAATGATATCGCAAGTTCAGCGAATAAAGCGGGTTATTAATATTAAGATATAAAACTTTTTATTTTTATCGGAGCTACCATAATATATTTGACAGTAATGAATATATATAATGCAATTCATAAATAAGTGATATTGTAGCTAATATTAATCATTACACTTTTTTTTTCAGATTTTATCTAAATGATTCAACTAACATCTAATGATTTTAGGGTGCTAGTTGGAGCATCTGCAATCAATTTCTTGATAGCTGGTAGTGCCAGACTTTCTACAATATTTTTTGTCGAATCATTAACTCGTTACAATGCAAGTAGGAAAGAGGCCTCTTTAGTTTATGTTTTGCCTTATCTGGTGAGAACTCTTTCAGGCAAGTATATATTATATCAAGGATCATCGAAAAATATGATAACTCATTGCTATAGCATTTGATGAGGTCAATCTTAGCGACGGTTACAACTTAATGTCTATTCTGGAAAGTAGGAGTCAGTTGTTGTATTTAGGACTACTTGTACTACAGTGCTCAAAAAACCTGTAAACGTGGGAATAAGCAAATTAAATTCTTCTTTAACCTGTTAAGTTCAACTCGTTTCACAATGGGGTCTTTTTTTCGTAGTTATCTGTAACATAATTACACCACAAGTAATTTCCATGACGAAAAATGTTGTTATACCCTTTGCACTAGTAGTTCGGGTATGACAAAATATTTCATCATAGCCAGTTATTCAGGTTAAGGTTCAGACACTATCATTTGCATTTTGTACTTTTTTTAGGAAATATCAAAATATACAAAATTTAACTTAAGTTTGTTCAACAAAAATTAGTTTTTACCTACAAAAACATCATCAGTTCTTTTTTATTTCGTAATGGAATAAATTTTCCTGTTGCTAGAAATCCTAGCGTTTCGTAAAGGAATAAAAATTAAAGAATTTTTTTTTACTTGCATGTAAGTTCCTCATGAAAAATCAGCATATGGAATATTTACATATTTTTAAGAACTAACAATACATGCGTACATTTATTTAGAACATATTTACGCGTGAAGAGTTGTTAAGTTATCAGTGAAATAGGAAAGCAAGTTTGGATGGAGCTTCTGAGCCTACTTGCTTTCTGAATAAGATTCTAAGTTACAAGGAGAAGAAAATAAACTTTATCGTCTCAAATCCAGTAATATAATTTAAAAGGAGGTCTTTAATTAATTTTAATTCCTTTTTAAAACTTTACAAATTATTTGCAAATTTTAAAAAGTTTTAGAAATTGTGGATGTTTTAAGCTAATTCAATGTTGTGCTTTCCTTTAAATAATTGATGAATTTCCCTTATAGGTCCTCTGATTGGATACTTTGATCAAATATTCGGATTAAGAAAGCTCATTATCGCGGGATGTCTGGTGTCTACGCTAAGTATAGGGTTTTGCTTTTTTGCCGAAGATATTTTTACAGTCACAATTTTATGGGGCGGATTATTTGGTAATTTCTTAAGACTTCAAAAATATTTCCACCCGTCTTTGTGAAGTAAAATCTTTAATTCTTAAAATAATTTAGTTTTACTACTGGAGAAAATTAGACTTAAAGCAAATAGTTGAAAGTCGAACAGGAGCACGATCTGTTTCTGGGTTTGAATGATAAATTAAAAAAATTGGAGTGCATATGGTACACCAATTGGCATTGTCTTTTCAAAACATTTTCATTGTCTTTTTCAACCAATTACATTCTTCAATATTTACATCTCTAATAACAACTAGTTTTTACATATATAGTGTTTAGTGAGAGAATAAAATTCCTTCAATTAAAACAAAAAAAGAGGAGTCCTAAAAAAAGCTTCTCCTGATGAACAGAGATGTATGAAAGACAAAAAAAAAAATTAAATATGAGAGATTACACGTAAATTTATTTTTACACATAATTACCAAGTACGCTGAAGCATTTTCGATATCGCTTTATAAGCTTCAAAAAGCTCTCCTCAAAAAAAAAAAAAAAAAAAAAAAAAAAAAAAAAAAATCAGAGCTCTGCATATAGAAGAAGCATTGAAGAGTTTGCGTGATTTTAGCATTGCTTCAGGAATTGGAAGTCACTGGGTGCGAGATCAGGACAGTATAGCTAATGGTCAAGGCGCCCTTAATTAAGAGGTGCAACACGGTTTTGTGTTGCTATCACCGAGTTTCACATCATCATTCATTAACAGAACGCTAGATGTGAGAAGGCTCAGCCCTTTTTCCGAATAGCCATATTCTATTTCGGCAGGTTGTAACAGTACAACATAGCACTTTTCCAACTTCTAAAAACACTAGCAACATAGCCCTTAGACCAGACTGATAGGTAATCACCTCTGCTTCGACCATGATCATACTCAATAGTGTATGAGTGTTTTTCACATTAAGCCAGTGTGCCTAGTAATTGATGTTCGATTTCCTGTGAAGAACTATGGGTGGGGGGAGATTAATTTTCGGAATCACTCTTGAACATTAATTGATATGTCCTCAAAATAACCAACGGTTGGAAAAATAAATTTTAAAAAAGTTGAAGGAGATAAAAATTTACTGATTTGCAAAGTTCTGCTTAGAAAACCAGAACATTATTCCTACCATGTCTTAAATTAGTTACTAAGTTCGTTAACAGATAGCCAAAAACTGCAAAGTAATGTTTTCAACTGTATTTCAGACCATTCCAATTGAAATATTTTCTTGGATATCTTCTGAACTTGTCTTCAAATTGCGCTGCATTGTTGCTGATAATAATGGTTATTTATGTTATTCTCAAAAAGTTTCAAAATAGTTACCAAGTTCGTCAACAGATAGTATTGCTGACTGGAAGAACAAAAACATGCCATTTAGATGCCAGATCATTTTAACTAAAATTCTTATTCGAGTATCATTTTGTCCTCAGACTCTGTCGCTTTGTTGCTGAAAATAGTATTTTTTTCTTAAGAAACATTATTTTTTCCCCCTCAGTAAGTAGCGCCATCTGTTACAAAACTTTGTTACTAATTTTGAAATTTAGTGAAGGTGAATCACCTTGATTCCTTAGAAAATCGCAGATAAGTTACATATTTATTTACTTCCCCTTTCTTAAAATTTATTTTTAAAATCGATAGTTATGTTTGCAATACCAGGTATGTAAAGCGCAGTAAATATTTAATTAACTTTTTAGACGTGAGAAACTGAATTAACGTTTTTTCTACAAATCATTCATCGTTAAAATCCTTGTTTTCTTGATTTTTAATTGCTGCCGAGTTATAAAAAACATAGCGTCTTGATTTGATTACTTTCAAATTAACAAAAAGTCACTAACTTGCTGTTTTTTGTGTTATCTATTTTGTGTTACTCAGATTTTTGTGAATATTTTACAGGTTTCGGTTACGGATTATCACACCAAACTATTCCACCTTATCTCAACCAACATTTTTCTGAAAATAAAAGTACAGCAAATGGTCTGGCATTGACGTTTGCAAGTCTAGGTGCAATTTTATTACCTCCCGTAATGCAGGTTTGCATAAACTTGTACGGATTGTCTGGATGCTTCTTAGTTCTCTCTGCTATGGTAGCAAACACCATTCCAGCTAGCCTAGCGATGCCAAATCTTTCAAATAATGATTCACCGAAGAAAAATAAAAATTTCCCTGCAAATGGCCTCACTACTGAAACTAATTCTGCAAAACAAATTCAGAAAAGTGATAAAGATAATTACATTGCAGAAAGAAATATAAGAAATTTCCCTGGGAATAAGATTTTTGTTGTTTTTATTGACCCAGCATTTATTATAATGCTTATTATCAATAGCTGTTTTATGTTTATTGTTGTAACAATATGGACTATAATTCTTGATTACAGCTTGGATAAAAATCTAGATGAAGGCATGAAAATACACGTAGTTACAATTATATCAGTGTCTGACTTAATTAGTCGTTTCTCTTCTGGATTTATCATTGATGCAAAATGTATGGAACTCACCAAACTGACATTTATTTGTTTCTTCAGTACGGGTCTATTGCTTATAGTTTTTGTGTTTGTGTATAATTCTTTGTTTCTGATGATATGCGAGTTTGCAATATATTTTATATTCGGATTACTGTTCCTTTTAACTATTGCACTGGTTCCAGAATTTATAGAAGATGATAAAAGGACTATGGCACTGACTAGTAGACATATACTGAGTATTCCACTTAGTTTAGCAACTCCGTCTATCATAGGTAAATATATAAACTTTCACTAATTAAAACGATTATAATATATAGTAAGCGACTTTAAGCATGCATATTTTTTTACATTTTGACAACTTGTTTTTTGCTGTAGACACATTTTATGTTAACTTTAGTTTTCTCAGAAAATTAATATTTGATAAATATTTATTGATTTGTTTTAAGGTGAATTTTTTTATTTTTCACACCAAGGAACAAAAATTTCTAGATTTTCAGAACCATTTTTTATTTATTCAGAAGTTTAGTGTGCACCAGTCGCCATTTTGTTCACGGAGAGTTTTGGGCCGGCGGGGATCGGACCGACGGCCTCTTGAACATGAGCCAAGCGTCCTTCCAACCAGGCTATCCCGGCGCTAGTAATACTATCGACTAGGAATAAAATTGGTTTCATTTTGTTCACCACAAAAATGAAATTTATCAGAAACAATTGGTCATTTGCTTTAATAACAATATTTAAGGTCTATAGTAACTCTATTTTGCTTGGCTTTATCCTTTCCTCTATCCAGTATAGAGTCAGAACATAAAGTACCCCAGTAGCTTAAAATCATATTCGTATCAGGTATCGAAAATTGATAAAAATGTTTTTTGCTTTTATCACAAAATGTAACATTTTTGTGTACAAAAGGTGTTAACTTAAAAAGAGAAAATTTTCTTTATTGATTTACACTAAAATAATAAGAAAAATCACTAAAATAATAAAAGGAATCACTAAAATGCTTAAGACCGTAGTAGTTCAGTGGTTTGAGAATCGGACTCAGTTCCGTAGGGGTTGGAGTACGATTCTCGGCTCCTCTGAGACTCACCGAGTGCATGCGATATGCTTGCACGTAAAATGTGTGAATCGAAAGACCTGTGGTCAGTCCCTGAGCAGTCCACGAGTACATAGAAAAAATTTCTTCTCCTACACGAAAAAACTTCTTCTCCTACAGATCTCACGAATGAGTGGTGCTGCCATCTATCCGTGGGTGCTCTGAACCACGATGTTCTTTCTCCCTTACAGTGCTCTTTTGTCAAACGACTTAATTCACGAAAGGACAATGACTGATGACGAGCTTGGTTTGTCCAAGTATCATTAGAGACAACAGCAACAAAAATATTTACACAAACTTCTAAAATACTAGGGGGACCGGAAAATAATGTCGTTTCGGCTCATTAATATTCATTCGTATTAAAAACCAATAAAATTTTTTCGATTCATTTTTGATCCGACATTGAAAGGTTGTTGCTAACGAGGGTGAATGCATTATTGATTAAAAATAAAATCTTGATAAAAAAAATATCAAATGCACTGAAATGACATTACTTTCCGGTCTCTCTAATTCTTACAAGAACTACTAAAATATTTTATTATTTTCATAATATCTATTGTCCATAATAGAAGCTTGTCTTTGCTTTTCAGGTTATTTTAGAGGAACTCATGGTTCATATGACGGTGTGTTCTATATTTTGGGCATAACATGTATTTTCTGTGCTTTTTCAGCGTGTTTCCTTCCTTACCTAGCGAAGAAGAAAACGAGAACTCCTGACCTTGAATGTGCTACATAGTGCCCGAACTATAAATAGACCATGAAAAGAAAAAAAAAACTGACTGTCTGGGTTGTGTTACGTGATGCCCGATCTATAAACAGACAATAAAAAACAAGGACTGACAATCTAGATTGTGTTAAATGATGCCCGAACTATAAGCCAATAAAAAAACAAGAACTGACAATCTGAATTGTATTGCATAATTCCCGAACTATAAATACACAGTAAAAAAATTTCTCGTTTCTCCAAAAGAAAAAGTGTGATCTAACATAAATGCATAATAAAATTTTAAAAACTACTTAATAAATATTTCAAAAGAAAAATGCATTTTTTTATTCAATGAGTCGCAAAATTTAGAGAGTATCTGCATTCCAATTTATTAATGCGTATTATATTTGGAAAAAAGAAACAGTTCATTTAAAAGGACGCTAAGCACAGGGTTAATGTAGTGGTATTAATAAAATGTAACGTTTACGAAACATTTTTTCTGACGGAGCTAAAGGTTTTTGGAAATATATTATTATTTTTTGAGAATTATATTATTATTAGAGAATACTTTTAATAAAAACGTCAAATAAAACCCCGATATTTTTTGTGATCTTGTGGTCGACTCCCTAGTAAGACTTATCAAATTAAAAGTCCTTTTCTTGAGTCTTTCTCCAGAAATAAAAAACTATCAAGTCAAAGTCTAAAGAAATGGCATAAGAAACTTCGACTGCTTTACAAATCAAAATTTAGCAGTAAATGTTTGTGAAGCCATAGCACTCGAATATCGTGTAAACCTTTATGTGGTACGTTTCTTGGATAATATTGCCCTACTTGCCCCACTTCTAAATTAATTCAAATTAAAAAGAGTAGGGTCATTATGACCACTTTTGTCTCTTTTATTTTCAAATCGAACTTCACGTCTCCTTGAAATAATTAAAATTAATATTTTAATCGTTTAGGGCAATTTTTTAATTCTTGAAGAATGTATAAAAAAAAAAACATTAATCCAAATCCAATCCAAAATTTACCAATAATTGTTTGTTAAGCCACAGGACTCGAATATCGTGTAAACCTTTATGTGATACATTTCTAGGATAATATTGCCCAACTTGCCCCACTTCTAAATTAATTCAAGCTGAAAAGCGTAGGGTAATTATGACCACTTTTGTCTCTTTTATTTTCAAATCGAACTTCATGTCTCCTTGAAATAATTAAAATTAATATTTTAATTAAGGGTAATTTTTTAATTCTTTAAGAATGTATGAAAAAAATAATTATCATTAAGTTAAATATTTAAGCTCTTAAAGGTTTGGTCATAATTACCCCACAAAGATTCTCAAAAAGTAAAGTTTTGGGGTAATTCTGATCACATATGGGGAATAATGAGCATTCAACTAACGCCCATTCTAGAACTGTTGTTGACTCATTGTCATTCCTTTCAAATGACCTTTACCACTGTTTTTCCCTTCTCACCTACTCCATACACGTGGGAGGTGTATGTAGAATGATGATTAATATATAATGAGAACAATGTATAATATTTTGTCTGCTTTATCTCATGTATAATGAAGACAAAGTAGGCTTTATCTGACGATAATAGTTTTTTTAATTAATTCTAAAAATCCTCTTTTTTTTGAATTTCCGACCAAAAAAAGCAATTTTTTATTGCTGAAACTTAATATATGTTCTATACTAAATTCGAAAATGCAAAATAATTTTTTTAGCAAGCAGTTTTTTGCTTGGCCTATTGGTGGTGAAATATGTGATCCACTGATTTCCAATTTCCTTGCAATGCACCCAAGTTTTATCTTAAGAAAATACATCGTGATAACATATTTATTAACTCTATCGTTTTAAGGTGTTTAACATAAATATATGCATAAAATAATTATTAAAATTTGATAAAAATATTTTGGAAAATAATTATCTAACTTCACCGTTAAAGCAGATTTAAAATTAGTTTTGGGTATCAGAGCGTAAAAATCATACATCATAACTATTTAGACATCCGACGGTAACGCTAATGAAAGCGGAACTAATGTGAGTGCAAAATGATTTTCGATTTAAATACAAGGCGGGAAATCTCACTGCGAAGAAAGTGGAACTAGTTGCGCTATCTTTTAGCAATATTTAGAAATACAATATGGAAGGATGCAATACGGAAATATACAATAGTAGAATATAGGATTTATACAATATAGAAATACAATATATACGCTTGGCAAGCGACGCCTATTATACGGGCATGAAAGCGCCGAACTTATGAGATGCGACGCAGACAGAAAAGGGGTAAAATTGATACAATGTAGATGCTTGGCTTTCTTCAAGGACCAGGAAAAGTGTCGTTCCATAAAGTTTATAAGCCAGTCCTCTCTCGGTTTACCGTTCTTAAAAATATTAGTAGTTGAATTTTTAAGTCGCTAAAAGTCTTGCCTGTCTGTAAGAATAATCAAACCTGGTTCTTGCCAATAAATTCTAAAAGTTCCTGCCCTTGTTTCAAATTCATGTTCACAGCAGCCAGCTCCCTGATTTTTCTAAAATAAATTTTCTTCTAATTTGCATCTGATACTGGCATGCCATATTTTCTTTCAGTCTTTCACTGGCTCATATTCTTGGTTTTTACCATAGGAAAAATTTTTGAAAATTTTTATGAGTTCATATCACGCAGCGTAATTTTTTTAATATAAAAAAAATTAGATCACCTATGCTTTTTATTTTCTCAAATCTGTGACTTTTTTTGCTGAGCGCAATTTTCAGAATTAGCCTAAAAGGTGGTGACTAAAGATAGGCTTTAACCTCACAGGAGTTACGAAAACAGCATATTATTCAGAAAAAGAGCATTCTGTCATGCGATGTCCAAGCCAACGAAACACCCATAAAGTAATATTAAACTAGGACCGACGTAAAAAAAGTAGTACTAAAAATTCTTAGTTAGAAATTTAAGACATTATTGGAAAACTTAGGGTTGATTATAAAGAAGAACTTTAGCTTTCTGGAATGCTTTTGAATAGTTTAGTATTGTATAAGACTCATGAAATATTTGTCTTATATCATAAGTATATTTTGCTATATTTAATATTGGGAAACTAAAATACATGCTTTAATTAATTTGCAATGAATGTCATTAATTTAATTATGTTACTTTAATATGGTATATTTTAATAAATTAATAATTGTATAATTACGATACATTGGCGTGATTTAATTTCTACATCGTAATTTATCTTATCAATTATGACTGCCAACTAAATTATTTTTTTCAATATGTTATTTACACAATATATTGGGTAAGAATATTTTAAATAATTGTCTATTAGAAATATTTTTATTTATTTCATTTTGAATGTTTGATATTTCTGTGGATTAATTGTCAGTTTAATTTTTATTATGTAATGTTGACACTAATTTTAATTTATTTCACAATTTATTCCTCCCATTTCCAAGTTTGTTAACAGTACAAGTACACTATAGATAGTATGATATAATGGTATGATATATCAATATATGATAGAGTATTTTTTAAGCTTAGGCGCAAAAATTAATCGGAAGCAGTAACCCAGAATTCTTATTACGAATTTTAACCGCTAGCATCACCTGTGTTTAGCTTTATACATTTCTTTACTCTTCATTACTCCTCTCCGATTTGGTGCATGTTAAATTCGCATCGAACTTTCTTCAACTCCCAGATCATTACAAATGATGTTGATTAATATAGTCTTTTATCTACTGGGTTCTAAGAAACTTAAAGATATGACCGAAAAAATAAAATAAAAGAGTAAGATCTTTTTTGAAATCAGAAATTTTTTCTAAATGTCATTAAGAAACGTTTTCTTCCAAGCTTCTAAAATATGAGCAGAATTTTTTTTTCCAATTTTATCCTTTCTTAAAATCTGCATCTTTCAATCTTTCAATAAACATTTAAATCAATTAGATATAATGGTGGTCAATTTTTTTTTCCAAACTTAAGATAAATAGAGCTTATATTTTATCTCAAAGCTGAATATTATTAGTTCAAAAGTTCAAAATGAAGATAAAGCAAAGGAAAATAACTTATTAATGAAAAAAGGGAGGAAAAGAAAATTAATAATAAAAATAGAAAAAAATGGGGGGGAAAAATCCGAAAAAAATGATAGAATTCTTTCAAAAAATCCGGAAAATAAAAGACATAATCTTTTTATCAGCCGACACGATTATATCCGCGAAAAAGAGTGCTTTATAATATTGTATCAATATAGCCAAAGCAAAATATATTAATACAATAGTGTGAGGAGCACTCAAAAAATTACAACAAATAAAATAGAACACAAAAAGCAAAAATAACACGTAAAAACAGAAAATAAAAGGTAAAGAAAAAACAGAATAAAACATAATTTATAAAACGAGTAGCGAAATCAAAGGAACTTACTTGAACGGGAAATTTTTCAGGAATGATTTAAAATATTTTTGTAACATGATTGCCAGATTGCCAACTATGAAAACAAAAGCGCAAATTGAGATAGAGGCGTAACTAGCAGAGTTTTGTTTTAAAGTGCGTTCTTACTGCATTACTGAAGTGCGTTTGATTTGTTAGTTACCAAGGATGGGCCTGAAAATGGATGTGCTCAATGTAATATTATACTGGATAATTTTAAGAAGATTGACTACAAATAATTTTAGAAAATAAATATTTATTTAAGAAAAAAAATAGAAAAGAGAAAAAAAAGAGATTTTCCTAATTTTCTTCGTGTCTTTTTTTGTATTTATTTATTATGTTATATATATATATATATATATATATATATATATATA